ATTTACATGCTATTAGTCACAGCTTACTAGCCAGGTTTGCTCTGTTTCTCTTCATTCCCTTTCATTATCCCGTCCTTTAATTTGCTCATCACAATCCGTATGTTGCGTTGTATTGCTTCTTCTGGATATCCGTTTACACAAAGTATCTAAGCCTGTTTTTCTAGTTACTTTTCCAATAATTGAGAATAGGTAAATCGTAGGCTTCTTATGATTACATTCCTGAGTATACCAATCTTCATTCCACAAGTAGAGTTAGACTGTACGCTAGATTGTTAACATAAGTTGCTTAGTGTGATAAAAGGAACTAAAACTATGTTAATGTTTTCTTTGAATTCTAACTTTTCGCATTAATTACTAAAATAATAGCCATAAAAATCATTTTAATGTATCATCGGCCAAAAACTTAACAACTTCGATCAAATACACAAAAAACAATAAAAGCCTTAGTGACTAAAATAAAAATACGACAATCCTTGTTTATTACAATTAGTACAAGGAATTCTGTGAGCCAAACTTTATGGCGCGCAATAGCATTTATAAGCATATAAATAAACAGAATAATATGGACTTTTACCATTTACATCAAATTGATAAGTAATTAGGGTACAATTTTAGATAGACTCACTTTGCCTTCAGCAAGACTAAATATATGCAGATAGCCGTCCAATTTGATGTTACCTCCTGACACATCAGTAGCATTATTAGCGAACGAAAATTTTGTCACAACTCCATCCGTTACAAGAAGATACTAGATAAAAAATAACTTAGTCAATGAAAGAATTAAAGGCGTAGAAACAAGTTAGGAAAATCATGTACATCTTGTCACTCCTACGAGCAGCTTAAATAATTAAACCATAATAACATTAGTCGGTTGGCATAGAACGCACATGCCGGGCTAGAACATCTCGTAGACTGCCACCTTAGGTGCTAAAGTTGATGATCCAGGACAATTAATACAGACAGATAGACCCTGAATAATGAGTTTACTGCACCCAGCTCATGTTAGCCGCCCGAATAAAGGAGTGATGATAAAGCTGGACGGGTAGGCCGATCAAGAAAGGAGGCGAGAATATATCCATTGACTTCCTTGTCTACACAATTTAAGTTAAAAGATGTCAAAAAAATGAATACCCAGTGTAACTCGAAAACATACATTTAATTCCAGTGATCGACCAAAAACTTTCAACAACTCCTTGGAAGCTAAGACAAGCGAATGTTCAGGCGAATTTATTGAAGTGGCGTAAGCATTATCCTGGCAAAGTAAATCAATAGCTTTCTCAATTTTAGGATATTCATTCGTTATGCAGCTAAATTTATCAGCAGTAAGCATCTAGGTGCAAATAAAAGGTACGAATGTAGCATGAAACAGAGCTTATCAGATGGTACTCACTAAACATAATTTCTCATGGGGTTGTGAATGAAGGGTACTTTTGGCAAAATACTTCAGGAATCTACATAGTATCTCAAAATTGGAGCTATGAGGGGAAAGACTAGAAGGTCTGAGAAGGCTAGGAGTGGGGAGAACGTAAAGCAACCAGGGCATGACATAAGAATCGAGCGGGCATCCATCATACAAAAAATCATTATAAAATTTAATTTTTTTAATTTTTTTTACTAAACTAAATTGTACAAAACCATTTTGAAATATTTTTTAAACTTTTTTTAAGGAAATTTTATGTTTTTATTTTTTCTAAGGCTGTTTTACGCTTATTGTATCGCCACATCTACTAGTATAAAATTACTTGCTCCTCTGGCGTTTCTATTTTTGCTCCGATGTTAGCTGATAAGAAAAAACGAAGGAAGACCAAGGAGGATCCTGTTGAAGGCAATATATGGAAGCCTACCCAGGAAGAAGAAGAAATAGCTAGATATTTACACCGGAAGCTTCCTTCTATAGAAGGAAAGCTTTCAGGTGTTTATGTCAATGTCTTCAACGCCGAAGAGGCGATTGACTTATTACTCAACTCTCCATGGGCCAGAATAGAGCTCGATATAAAAAAACAGAAGCCCCGAGTCTTTCATAGTAGAGTTTCGGCTATTTCATTTATGCAAAAACTAATGGACAAGAGGATGTTCCAAAAGTGAGTTTTTTGTACCTCTTATTTACAGAGCAATTATCGTAAAGAAGCCCAAAGAAGAGAAAAAGACGCAATCTAAATCAAAAAAGGCGGATGAGCCATCAAAGCCGCTTTCTGCAGGTGCGCCCAACGAGGTAACCAGCACGTGTCAATAACCACAGGATATGACGCACAATATATTCTATTTTGAGTAATTTTTTATCTAGCACTATAAGTAAATAATCCAAGTCACTACCTTGAGTATTTTTTAATGCAAATTTTTGCATGAGCCATGATAGATTTGTATTTTATATTTATTTTCCTTGCTTGTTCTGTATTTTTGCTTCCATGCTGTAACTTGAGCTCAGAAGCACTTTTTTGCTTTAATCGTATTTTCTCATG